TGAGAGCCACACAGGCACCATGCAAGGGTGAGACGGCTGAGACTAAATTGGGAGCAGTTTTTGGAGCATCAAAATTTCAATTTTGGAGCAGAAGAATCTTGCTTGGGAGCAGTTAGCAGCTACTAATATGTCGTGCTGGGAGCTTGAAAACACTAATTTTTAGCAACGTGGAAGCACCAGTGCATATTTTAATTGATTTATTATACACATAACAGTGAAACAGATTTTGAAGGAAGTTTTTAAACAGATTATCGCCAGGTATGAACTGTCCTACATTTTTACATCATACCACGTAACCTATCTGGCCCTCATAACAAACGTGAAATAATATATAATAAAAAAAGGTTTTGTTGAAAACTGGGTTTCCCGGAAACATTTAAAAAGAAAAGTGCATCACACTCAAAAAGAAATTCAAAAATTATGATTCTACAAGAATCTTAGTTATGCAACAGTAGTCCTTTGTTTAAAGAAAAGCCTGACATGATAGCGTCAAGAGCTTTTAACAGACGACAAAAGCACACTGCACTGCCATTCGCACCCACATCAAGCGGGACCCCCTTCAAAATTGCAGCGCGGAAGCTAATAAACCTCGTCGCACCGACTATCCCGTAAAGCGTGTAAGTATGGCACTAAGTGATAAGCGAATGATACTGATAACGCCTCTCCACGCGAGCAACCACGCATTATTAATACGGCCCACGCTGACCAGCTCTATTGTTTCTTTTATCGCAGGTCATCACCGTCAATGTAGAACTCCCGATAATACACCGGCTTGCAATTGCCGTGGCTCGTGTAAAGCGCTCGTGCAGCGCAGATAAGAATTTCGTGTCCACGCATACGAATTGTCATTCGTACAGATGCCTGTATTATTGCATAAGAAGAAAAAAAAGAAAATGAAGTCACACTGCTGCCAACCAAAACGCCAATCGAGCTAAACCTAAAAGCATAGCGCAGAGCCGGCACGCATGCAGCAATGCTTCTTAAGGCGCACGTTGAGAGTTTAGATTACAAAACAGAGCACTGACAAATTACCATTCATAAAAACTGTGCCATGTCATCGCCAACACGTCATGAGGCACGAATAAAGTGCCAAGGTGCTCGTTCATGTCGTTTAAAATGATTTGAACGCACGTTGTCACCGTGGTTTCACAAATAACCAAGTGTTTTTCTCTACTTGCAGACGATGATGCACGGTTTTCGCATGCGATGGCTTTTTAAAATGCAAAATGCAATGAGAACTCGCTTGTGTAAATAAGTTAGTAGCTAATGAGCGTAAACCGGGAGTGGGCTTGTCACAAACGACTGTAATTTTCGTTTCGCCCACATGCCTTATCGTCCAAGGAAGGGCGCTTTTATGTTGGGAAGACGATATCTGGCTACTAAAGACCCAGCGACGGCGCCGCCGCGTATTCTCTACACATGTACCGAAGGGGACACACGTGTTCGGAGAAAAGGAAATCACCTCTAGGGGGTAAGGGAGTATGCGTACGCCCCGAGTAAGTTTTGACTTCTTCGGGATTGGCGGTTGGCGTGCAACCAGCAAGAAGCGTGGTCGTCGGTTTCGAGAGGTTCGCGTAGGCGACGAGTATGAAGTGACCCGTGCAACGTATTGAGACGGCTGCAATACCGAGCACCCTCCTCGTCTACTAAGCTGGCGAGATCCTTAGCGGCATCGGTTAACTCCCCTATCCCCTATGTGTACCAAGAGCTGGCCTGGTCTGTATAAAACTTTTTGTTGTGAATTTTTTTAACTGTTATATTTTATTATAACCACCTTTTCAATAATTGCAGTTGTGTGCGCTGCGTCGCACGGAGAAGCTCAGAAGTGCGAGCATGATCTTTGCTCTATAATTATTTCCTTGTGTCCCTCTTTTCTTTCTATCATGTTGTTATTTTATTAACACTCCGCGTATTTATGTTTTGTCTGTACCTGTTGTAGTGTTCTTTTAGAGCATAGTTTGCTTTGTTGTTTTTTTCATCGTGTATTAGTGTTTTTTCTCTGTTACTTTTTTTGTAATCTCCTTGCTATTGCCCTTCTTTTAATTAAATGCTTGTTTGTGTTTAATCAAATGTCCGTGTCTTCTCTATAAGTACGTCTGTCAGGCTCATACATCACCACACGTGCAACTCGGCACGGGTCGATTAACCTGCAAATAAATTTGAGATGTGCCACTTCGAGGCCTTTCAGGCATCGCAGGCCAAGACGTAAAGTGGAAGCCTGCGAGTCTGCCGAACGTCGATGTTGGATCGTCGGGGCTTCACCCAAAGTGTGTGACATTATCTGGCGTCCACGACAGGACTGGGAAGCTAGAGGCTGAGCTATGATCAAACTGTGTCGGACACAGTCCCAAGTGCTCTTTCTCCCTCTGAATTCTAAGCCTACATTTCTCTCTCTCTTCTGCTGCATCAAAAATTCTAGATGGTGTCTATACCTAACGCATTCTGCATCGCGCTCCTCTCTAAGTCTTTGTCGTTCTGTTTCGACAAAATTATACAGCTCCTTGCCTACAAAACCAAAGGTCTTGCCCTGTTTGATAAGCCTGTCAAACACTGTGTTGTGCATTGCTACAAACAGTTGCTGACGAACAAAGCAATATCAGGGCGGCTACATACTGAACGCTCAGAGTTACGTCAGTCTCCCAGACATCACCACGCGGTTGGCCAGTCCTGTCGCAGATGCCAGATAATGTCACACACTTCGGGTGAGGCCCTGCCGATCTAACATCGACGTGCGGCAGACTCGCAGGCTTCCACTTTACGCTTCGGCTTACGACGCCTGAAAGGCCTCGAAGTGGTACATCTCAAGTTTATTAGCAGGTTGGTCGACCCGTGCGGGTTGCACGTGTGATGGTGCATGAAATCTCACCGACGTACTCATAGAGCAGACACGGACATTTGCTTAAACACAAACAAGCATTTAATTAAAACAAGGGCAATGGCAAGGAGATTACAAAAATAATAGAGCAAGAAAAACATAATATGCAAATGAAAAGAAAACAAACTGTGTTCTAAAAGAACGCTAGAGAAGGTACAAGTAACCACAATGCAGAATATTAATAAAATAACAACATGATGGAAATCAAAAGGAGGTACAAGAAAATAATTACGAAACAAAGATCATGCGCGCGCTTCGGAACGTCTACGTGCGTCGCAGCGCACAGAACTACACTTATTGAAAAGCTGGTTATAATAAAATAACAGTTTAAAAAAAAAAGTCACGATAAAAAGTTCCATACAAACCAGTCCAGCCCTTGGTACACGTAGGGGATTTGATGAGTGCCGCTGAAGATCTCATCAGCTTAGTAGATGACGAGGGTGCCCGGTATTGCAGCCGTCTCAATACGTTGCGCGGGTCACTCCATACTCGCCACTTACGCGAGCCTCGCGACACCGACGACCACGCTTCTTGCTGGTTACACGTCAACTGCCGATTTCAAAGCAGTCAAAACTCTTTTGGGACGACCCGTTCCCTCTCGAGATCATTTCTTTTTCCTCGAACACATGTCTCTCCTTTCGGTACAGGTGTAGAGAAGACCTAGCGGCGCCGCTGCTGCCTTGTTAGTCGCCGGATGTCGTCTTCCCAACCCTTCCTTAGACGATGGGGCACGCGGGCGAAATGAAAATTGCAGTCGTTTGTGACAGGGCTGCACGTGTTTTGTCGCTAATGGAACCCACTTTGAAAACCCATGTGCATGCGCCAGAGCATCCAGGAGACGCGTCGCATGCAGAGAAATGACTACACGTTTACAGTTACTTGCACACGATAAATGGGCAAACGCGCATGCGTAGGTGGGCGCACGCAGCAGCATCGACATGAAAACCGCAGCGACTGGAGGAACGCGCTATGCACATCAAAGAACCTGAGAGTCAACCTCGCTACACTCACCACTCAACTCTGTGGTTTTCGCAAGCCAACAGTGACACTCGAACACACAGCCTAGCTGGTAGAAGCAGCATGCTCGATGCACGGCAGCACATTTTTGTGGGGTCACGTATATTTACAACAGCTTAGAGGAGATCATGGCGGCACCATGGGAGCCTTTGTCACCAGAAAAGTGCAAAGTAAAAAAAAAATGCGATTGGGCGTGTCTTGTTAGTCAACTCGGCCTTTTTTCCCACTGAAGCTGAGGTTAGGATCAAAATTCTAGCTTTCGAAGCCGTTTTGGAGCAGCTTGGCATAAGAAAACAGAAATGTATGAAAAATGCACAATATGTACAGCTGCCTTAACCCTGACTATGATAGTCACGAGTTGAACTGGGGCCTTCTCAGAATCGACGAGTTTGTGTCCGAGCTCACGCATCAATCAGTTTGATCGACAGACACCCGTAACCAAGATCACATTTTTCTTCGTGTCCATTGACCACTTTGGGAATCATTCAGAGTGCACTTCCTTAAGGTGCTTTAGCGCCTAGGGCAAGCATGGACACCTTGTACTAAACCACCTTCAATGCAAAGCTGCAGAGCAATACCTCGTGCTTGTGCATGCTTGTACTATGCTGTGCCGCAGTTATCGGAACCCTATACATATGAATAATTTGCCACAAAGCAAAAGCCATGATTTTCACTAAGTTATTCTCCTTTAGAAGTAACACCCCGATTTTTTTATTTTTCAACTTCTGAAAACACAAAACCCGAAAAAGACAAACTGCATCTGTATTGTATGCAAGCACGTCAGGTGTCATGCAGTAATAATAACATTCGACACAACTCCAATATACATTTAAATTTTAGTTGGACTGGTCATGGTCATGCTATCAAGCTTAGTGCAGCATGTTGTTGCCAAAAAATTTCACTTTCAAAGGTAGCCTTGACCTCACTGCACTAACTGTTTTAAAGACGGGGAAAAAGAAGAGGTGGCGAAGAACACAAGAGTCATTTTCACAGGGTAATTGCTTTTGCCTGAATGCACATCTCGAAGGACCACTTGTGGTTCCACATTAGAGTGTTGCCACAAATAACTATGCATTTCCTCTCAGCTTTTTCCTTCTGTCAAACATACCTTCACATTGAAGCAAGATGCTTGAAATCACAGCTTCATTCTCCAAGGGGTTCATGGAACATGTTGAGTATACCATTATACCTCCTTCTACCAAAAGCTCGAGGCCACGGCGTGCTATACGAACTTGCAGACTGCATAAGGGTAGCAAAAGGAAAAAATCAAATGGAGGTGTGCATGATCACCAAACAACAATTCACAAGAAAAATTCATATTGAACATACTGTAAGGGTTTCTTTAAAGTAACACTTAACATAACTGTTTTTCTCACCCCATTAATAAATTAATCATTCACAATACCAAATTCACCATGCTTACTGTAAAGAGATGTTTCGTGGGTGACAAAACGTGCAAAAAGAAAATTCAAAGGGTTACGTCACTCTCACGTTCCAGCACCAATGGCAGTAGCATCACACATTTCGTCGACCTCTACAGGGGCCAGCCCAGTTAACTATAACGAGAAAATGAAGAATACTGCCCTCTGAGGGTGCCAGGGACTTATCAAGCCGAGTTAACACAAACTTCATAGAGCAAATGTTACCATACTACGAAAAAGCACTTTGAAATACGTGCATCACCTGCAAAGATTTTAGTGTAAAATTTAAAAATGAAACTTTCACCTTGATTGCCTCTTTTATTATTAACCAACGGTGGTGAAATTAATAACAATATTAATAGCAGTACTTACAGACTACAACTACCAGTTTATATTGGCTCATATTTTCACTTTAGAGTCCTTTTAAACCTTACCAAATCATGGTCCATACTGAGGGATCAACACTATCAAATGTAGCCTGGGCCAAATAAAGGTATGTGAAGTTCCACAGGGACTAACTAGACATCAACTTTTTTTTTTAAATGTTCTCCAGGTCTCCCTTTAAGAATAGTGCTTTAACGTATTTAAATAACTACACCTTTCTTTTTTTAATAGAGCTTAGAAAACCTTTCTTTTCTTAATAGAACTTACAAAAAAAGAAAAACGAATAATTACAAACCCATGAATGCTATTTCCATTAGCCACATTCCATTTCCTCCACAGGTCAACATTTTTTCTTAAAGTTCCATCTCCACTGAAACATATTCAAAAGAGCAAGGTTACATTTCTGAAACAGCATTTATATAGAGCATTCAATTTGAAGGTAGAGCAGTACAATTCACAATGGCTATGGTCAAGACTGAAAGCCTATAGAAAGGGTTAATATTCTTTAATTCATAAGAGCAATTAAGGGCATGCAGTAATAGTAACAGCACCATTTCGCAATATACCAGAAGAATCAAACACTAATATTCAATCAAAATAGCATTAAAATATTGAATACCAAACCATATATTTCAATTTCCAAGCATAGTGAAAAATAATAAAGCTTGGTCTGAATTAAAATAGTGCGCATTTCCATTTTAATTGATGCATCTAATGTCGCTGACAACTAGACATCCAGTAGACTCTTGAACTTGTAGACTGAATACTAATGCATATGTAGCCTTGAAAATGTAAGCAGTAAAATTAAGAAAAATAATGTCACCTGATGCAAACAAACTGATGCACAGAAAATAATTAGAAACGGTCTGTCCCAACAGCTCCCGGAATTATTTTTGGTGGACAGCAATGCTACCCCGCAAGGCGGCGTTTCTGCGGAAAAGTTAGTGGAGTATATAAGCTTAAAAATGAGTCTGGTCTTGGTTGCTGTGGGCAGTTGTCGAGGCAGGTCATACATTGCACAAAGGTATATGTTGCACCCTTACTGAAAGAAATATATATTATCTACTCTTTGCAGTAGTGTTACATTTACATTAAATTTTGCTTGAAAGCGAGAAAAACCTAGGTGAAGATGCTTGCAATACTTCAGAAATTCTACTGTAATGTGACGAAAAAAAGTGAAACTTTATTGTGTCACAAGAGGTTTCGGGAAGGTCTGGAGTCTTACAACCAAAACAGCCACTTGGGACGCCCGTCTAAAATACTAACGAACAACTCTATGTAAGAAAAGCATCAAGTTTTAGACAAGGAGTAGCTATTGAGTGTTCAGGTGATCATACAGGAAAGTGGAATACCCAAAACAATCATTCACCGCGTTTTAATAGAGTATCTTCAAATGAGGAAAATCTGTGCAAAAATGGTGCCAAGAGTCCTGATGAGTGAGATGATGAATGAGGAGCCACACCCCGCAATCATTGTCTGAGTTTCTGGCGGCAAGTTGGCAACGCTGCCCCAGCCATCGCACAGCCTTGGTATGGTACAACCGGATTTATTTTTGTTCCCAATAATGAAAAGAACTTTGAAAAGAACACAGCAAGGGACGTTGGAGAGGGTCAAAGCATGTGCAATGACTTTACTAATGTAGGTTCACATTGACGGCTCAGTCGGCACTTTGTAGTGTAGTGAGTTCAGCCTTAGCGAGCCACAGGGCAGTGTTTGCCGTCACCTCGCGTGACCTTAACTCTGCTGCACACACGTGTTCGGACAACCAAGGCGCTGAGCACAGCGTGGCAAGTACCCAATACTGCTCCCAAACGATTCGCAATACTTTATTGCCTGCGACAACACCACAACGAAGTGCAACGTCCGCTGCAGAGGCAGCGGGAAAGCAAAAGAGGCTTATCCACACCACGGGTGAAAGCACAACACTAGGGTGCTGTGAGCACGTCTCTGCGGGCAAAATGTTCACGGCAACACGTCCATGAGAGAAACAATCCCTCGAGACTATGCTGCATGCTCTCACAATCAGTGACCACAGGGCCCAATTGCTGGAGTGAGGGCAAACTCGGCTTACATTGGCTTCGATAGGTACGGCTCGGCGTAGTATGATCATGTGTGACTGAACACACTGTAGTGCTCTTTGGCCTAGCGCTTGGAAGGGGCAACGAAAAATAAGCGTTCACCGTGGGCGCAAGGCACCGTTGGCGAACTTCGTCAGACGCTCCACGAACAAAGAAGCCGAGCCATGATGTAGTGGTCTAGCGGCTAAAGTACTCGGCTGCTGACCCGCAGGTCGTGAGATCGAATCCCGGATGTGGCAGCTACAGCATTTTCGTCTCCATCGAAAAATGCTGTAGGCCTGTGTGCTCAGATTTGGGTGCACGTTAAAGAACCCCAGGTGGTCCAAATTTCCGGAGCCTTCGACTAAGGCGTCTCTCATAATCATATGGTTGTTTTGAGACATTAAACCCCACATATCAATCAACAAAGAAGCCGACGAAGAGGAAAAGAAATACGTGCCTACCATTAGCTGTTTAGAGAGAGTCTAACTCCCGCCGCGCGCGCAAAACATCTCGCGAGACTCGAGCGCAGCGCCATAGTCGAGATCCGCTGCCAGGTGAGAGAGGTCAACATCACTCCCACTCTCCCAGCACCAACGAAGCACGGAGGAGAGGAGTCATGTTCGGACATCAGATGGCAGATATAGGCGGAAAAGCCCACGCAATGGCTACGGGCTAGGGTCAATCCCCACAGCCTTCAATGATAGGGTGAAGAGTTGGCAATGGTGCAACAAACCAGGGGTAGAATACTTTAAAACGTTACTCATAATGAACAAATTATTATAAAACGAAAATTCTGGGAGCTTTTGGAGCAGACCCTGTACAGCATAAGATATGAAGGAATACATACACAGCGAGACAAATCAAGCGATAAACTGCACGGTTGAATTAAATGAAGAGAGCTCATTCAAAGCCTGCCTAAAGATGAGACTGAATGAAAAAAATATTGAACAGAAATAATCTGTGTATGCCATCGCTCATAAATTGCTGCACATGTGTAGCAAAAGTCGCCCCATACATCAGTTTCTGTCCCTTCAGGTGCCAGCATATGTTATTATGCGAAAATTTCTAGCTAAGCCAGCTGTCCTATGCTCATTAAAGAGAAACAGTCCACGTGACAGAACAGATGAAGCAGACAAGCAGTGCAGTGACGATTTCTTATTTGGAATCGTGCAGTATACAAGAAGTGTCGATCACTGGGCCAGTTGGTCACACATTATGTAAAGTAAAAACAGCACGAATTATATGTAACACAGGGCAGAACCCATCCTGTGAGTTCTCTTGCTGCGTTACGTCTTATTCACGCTGCTTTTACTTTTCACAGCATACAAGACGGAGAACACAAGGAGCATAATGAATGCCTCAGCTGGCCAATACAAACAGCAGTGACATATAAGCAAGGAGCATGTCCTATTATTATTTCCAACTTATCTAAACTAGAAACTACAAGGAGTAAAATATTACAACTTTTTATAAATCTTTTTGTCGATTCATACTTTTGTTAAACACAGATTGTAGGACCGGATTCTCTTAAATAAGAAAACCTCATGGCCACCACCAGCACACAAGAAAGCTTGCTTTGGTGCCATCTTGTGATGACAAATATGCAATCTTTCACAGTAAACTGTTCCTAAAACCATAAATGCAGTTTCAGTTTGATAACTTGTACATGCAGCAACTCCTTGACCAATATTATTAAAAAAAAAAAATGAAGATTACTGTTTTCTCTGTCTCTTGGCAAAACTAAGACAGGCTCGGCAGTCATTGTAGTTGGAACTGAGGGCACCATGTCAATCATTCAAGTTCCAATTATAAGGTGGTGGCAAATTTCATTATCGAAATAAGAAAGGTCTTGGCCAAAATGTATGGCCACCATACAAATGACCACCAGTTGGGAGCTTCAGTATGGGTCGAACTGAAAAGTTTAACTATAGTTAAATTAATGTAAGCCTATGCAAATAGGTTTTGCAAGAACTACCCAAGCAGCTACTGTAGGTTTATTTAGGTACTGTAGTCAACACATATACAACAGCTGATCAATAAGGCTTCAAAGGTGTGCAACGTAAAAGTAACGACATGGCATTAATTATTTTTGTCATTATTTTTGCACTGAACACCTTTCAGGATGCTCGTCTAACTTGCCGTGACAGCCACATTGCTCAATTATTGTGGCATTTCAGATTAAAATTACCTTGCCGATTTCATTATTTCTTAATAGAATCACTTTCCCTCGAGCATATTGAGGTACAAAGCTGCTCATATAATATCGACTTACAACAGCTGCTTGTACACTTTCTATGCTTCAAGCAAACAGAAGTTTCAGAAGTCACAGCAAAGATGTCAAGAAATTTATCAAGTGATAAACAATGCTTCTCCTGCATCATTCGGCACTCAATAATGTGACTGCTGTCTTGTAGGCTGTACTGTGACTGCAGGAAGCACTAGAACTGCAGTGGTGCAGAGTTGATGGAAAAGTCTTGGTAATCATTAGCCATTAGTAACTAACATTGCTGTTGTTGCTTCTCCCCCCCCCCCCCCACCTTTCCCTCCAAGTGTGCAGTACAGTACACGTACACGTGTGTAGTGCAGTACATGTATCACAGATTGTCCATAGTGACACCATCAACAGCCTAACTAAAAGAAATGTCAAAAGTGGCACCGTCAACAAATATGGTAATAAAATATGCAAATTATGTGAAGTTTTTTTTAATCCTACAAACTTCTTTGAAGAAGCTCACCATCACAGTAGTACAAGGAATAGATACAGAACCAACGTTTATAGAACCCGTTCAGTTGCCAAACCCTCCACCTTCGCCATACATCGAAAGGGGTGCACAACTTACTTTCGGTCCAGGTGGCGCTACTGCAGCAACAGGCTCCTTGTAGCAGACAACGAAGCGCGAGCAAAAGTGACGCATGCAGCTGCTATCCACGCAAATATTGAATTGTTTAAAACAACGACGTGAACGACTCGTTTTTCTCATTAACTCATCGTGAAGGTTTAATACATTAGCAGGAATGTCTGAAAGCACGTTATGTGGTGTTACATGTTGCGCGAACTATTCGTGGCGAGATCGGGCTATAAGTGGCAGCACCGTCTCCGGGCAAGTGTGGATAGGCGGTCGGCGGCACGTATACAAATACACACAGCGGCGTTTCGTTTCGTGCGGTCTAAGCCGATTGTTGACAGATAAAATGCGTTGACTACAGTTTACTGTTAATATCTACGCTCTTCTTTACTGAATCGGTGCACGACGCCTATGCAATGTTAACATCACCCGCGAGTAAAGCGCATTCTGTCTTTCATAAGAATGCTCACCTTAGGTGACTTTCACGCTTTTGCACTAAAGCACACCTTTGTTGCAGTTTTTGTATGTGGTTATCTTGTGTTCCGCCCAGCTACGCACTGCTGTAGCATGACTGAACTACTTATTTGCACCTTTGTCATTCACATACAACAAAAATAGAGAAAGAAAGATCGTAGAAAGCCCGCATATCTGTGCGATTAGTTCAGTACCACTGTTTGCACCTTATACGCATATGCTTTTTTTTTCTCTCATTCTGTTGACCATGAAATTTGGGACAGTTGATAAGTCTAGTCAGGCAAGCTTAGTGGCTGACAGCGCTTTGCGCTACACTGCATTTACCACGTGTACACACATGCTCTTGCACCAGTATAAGTATAAAAATCTTATATAAGAGTTCAGCAGAAAGCTTTCATCAATGAATTACGTGCAAGACAGTGCTAAAAGAAAGTAGAACTCGCTGTTGGGCTAGTTGGTGCATGTCTTGATTAAATATTCAACGTCGCGCTGAATGAACAACCACACGTAAAAACAAACAAATATAGACACCACGGGCGCTCACTTGTGGTGTCTATATTTGTTTCTTTCTGTGTGTGGTTGTTCGTTCAGCGCGACGTTGAATATCTACAACAAAGGCCTGGTTTATGAGACCCTAAGTATTTTTTTTTTTTCAGACGAAAAATTACCTTTGCCTTCCGTCGGTCACTAACAATGCCACACAAATGCTGAAGACAACGTAAAAAAGATGAAATTTTCAGTGAAATTATAGGACACTATATATAAGGCATGCCGTCTGAATTAATTTTCAACGTCTGGGCTCTTTACAGCGTTCTTAAGTCTAAGCACACGGTTGCTCACAGTAATTCTGTTTTAGTACCGATGTGTCACAGTTTATGAGATAGTAATATTTCCATGTTATGGTACCCTAGCCAGATAAACACAACTGAGGCTTCTCACATCATTGATAAACTACGGTGTTGTAGTTGTACACCTACCAACAGCGCACAAGCGCATGGCCTAGAGCCCCCCCTTTTTTTTCCCAACCGAGTCGCTGTAAAACGCTGCATTCACACATAATTTATTAGTCCTCATGTTTGAGAGGATGCCAAGAGCATTTTGCGATGTGCTTGAAACAGAAAGCGGCACCCACTCTGAAATTTTTCTGGTGAATAAAGGGTACGAGGACAATAAACAGCACTCTAGAAAATTGCACTCCCCAATCTTATTACAATGCATCAGCAGCCGAGCAAGACTAAATGCTTTCATACGTCCTTTCAGGCATACGTAGAAACAGTTACACTCGCTTACACATGACTACACATGACTACAGTTACACATGACCGGACAAAGCACACTTTGAGAACGTGCATGACGTACGTGCACACAGAAACACGGCGTGGCTAGCAAACGACGCACGGAGCAATCCACACCTTGCCTCTTCGGCCAGTTGCCGCCAGGCGGTAACTCTGCTAGATCTCGCGGCCAATAGCAGGCACCTGTCCATCGGCGGATGGTGCGACTATCGTAAAGTTCAGCACAACAGGCATAAACATTGCTCATAGTCTAAGCGACCAGCTGTGAAGACAATTTTTTTTCAGCTAACGAGGAAGATTCCAAAGGTTCTGGTAGGTTCGGTGAAAATACGTAATGGCAGAATCTCTTTAGAGCCGTGCAAATCGTGCAGTAGGATCTGCTATACTTTTCGCATTACCTATTATACTTAGTGTTAAAAGCTGGAAAAATGACTAGAAAACATAGCTCAACATTGTCAGGCAGATCGACTATGTGGCGCAACACATTCGCAGAAATAAACCCCCGCAAGCACATGACTAAGTTCTGCATGTCTTGCGTCCCACTTTGGTAGCGATCAAGCCCAGTCGGGACCACATTTTTTCGCTGGCTCATCTGTGCAATTTGCAGAAAGGAGCCAATTGGGATCGAGAGCTTCAACTTCGAAGAATGTATGCTGCTTATACTTTAATTTAATTATGCTTCACAGCAGCCGCTCCTTTTGCAGTCTGCGGAGACGCACTCAGTGACTCAACACGTGCGAACAGTTCTGTCAGGTGTGTAAGCGTGGTGATATCTAAATGTCTAGGCAACATGCCCATTTGGTCATGGTTTCAATCCCGGCCACGGCAATCGCATTTCGATGGAGGCGAAATGCGAGAGGCCGGTGTACTGTGCAATGTACAGTAAACACCAGATGGTCGAAATTATTATTATTATTATTACTATTATTATAGTTTGTGTTAAGTGCCCAAAAATGCCAAGAAGAACATCACTAAAGTTGTGCAGATTGGCCATGCCGCTTAGTCTATGCGGCACAGCGCGTTTGCAGAAATCAACCCTCGCAAGCATACAACTAAGTTATGCATGTGCACAGTTCGATAGCCATCAAGCCCAGTCGCAACGGAATTTTTTTGCTGGCTTATCTGCGCAAGTTGCGGAAAAGAGCTCATTGAGGTCGATAAGTTCACATACGAACAAAGCATGCAGCTTATAAACTCTGCGTTAATACACTTATCACAGCAGCTGCTATTTCCTTCACAAAGTAGGGCCCCTGCAAATACTCTTTCACAGCCTGGGCACACATTTAGTGCGTCAATGCTCGCGAGCAATGCTGTCAGTTGTGAAAGCACGGTAATACTGTCAGATTTAAATGTCTTTGCAACACGCCCATGCACACTAACACTCACCAACATATTTTCAGCCACGACGCATTTTTCAATGACTAGTGTACACTCTTCAGCCTTTATTTCACAAAAGGCCACAAAACGACCACTTTTATAAGAGCCGTCAGTGCTGCGCCAACCCGCAGAAGGCAAACAGACACTTTCGATATCGCTCGAAGTGAGTGCACCGCTTGCCGCATCCACGCAGTTTTCAGGCTCGCGTGGTAATTTACCACACTTGAAACATTTTTTTTTACCATCCTCCCTCAATCTGGAATCTTTTTTGTGGCTCCGAAGATCTCACAGGAGGTCGGGAAAAATTTTCGGCACCCCTTCCTGCACAAGACTCCACTTTATTACCGCGAGCGTTTTTGACATTTTCCCCATCGACAACGTGGCTCCATGTTTTACAGGTGTTCTCGGCATAAAAATGCACATCACAAACTCACTATTTATTCAACAGCCTTTTGTAAAGACGGCGATCATGCTGTACGGCAACATGAAGCACAAGCAGCCCACGAGTGTCTCGGACAGTTTTTAGTGCTATAGGCACTTGTGATTTCAAGCACCCAACTAGTCAGCATTGCAGACAAACAAACAAACAAACAAACAAACCTGTATGCTACATAGAACACAACAGCACGCAAAATCTTTTCAGTGTGCGTACTGCAACACGCAGAGACAGCGCAACCGCAGCCAAACACACACTTGATCTGGCGCACGTTGCTGAACTGGCTGAAGCCCGTTGCGACAGCAGCCCCACTTCAGTCATCTCTTGCAGCAACGCTGCGCAACACCACGAAGTTTTCAAACTGAACAGGTTTTATAAACGTTGTACAACGTTTATTTGTGCCAGGATGGCACAAACAAGATTCTACAGCAGGAGAATATTAGGTAGAACTTCATCCAGAGCAAAATGCAACAACAAAGAGAATGATGATGACAAACAGAATGTGGGTGGAATTGAGTTTATGCATGAGTATGGGTGCTCAGTTCACCTCCGCGTAGATGGCAGTCCATTTTCGGTTTTGGTTTCGGTTTAACTAATAAGGCAACTGATGTGCTTTGCTTGGAGAAATTGTTCCCCATAATGTCACGGTAAAGCAGGATGGCACAAAGGACATCTCTCAGCACAATTTGACACAGTTTACACACCTGTTCCACCCCTGAATTTGCTAGCAAAGAGAGCATACATTAAATCAATACTAGCACCTCCCTACTCCCCCCCCTGCATGTCACAATGGTGCAGTCAACACCAACAGGGCTCCTAAGAGCCCCCTAAAGACAGAGCTGAGTCATAACCTCCCACAAGGCAATGCTACTTTCCTAAAGTGATCAAAATATAACTGCCCAAACCAGGCAATGGCATATTTTCCAAACTAAATATTTGAAGGTAAAACTACATTAACCTATCTTGCGCTATGCCAATACATACTCACGTGCAAGGAACATCACAAAGGATTCTGTCATATTTCAAAACCTCTTGGGTTCCATCCTAAAAATAAAAAACATGCAAAGAAAAAACTAAGCACTATATACTATAAAAAACAGGCATTCAGATGTGAAAACTGACATTATATCAGCCTACACAAATGTATTATAAAAAGGAAACCTTGAATGAACGAAGGCAATTATGGAAGGCTTGTTTCTGTGACACAACCTTAACGAAAACCAGCAGCTGATGAAGCCAAGTAACGTTCAGGGAACGTCAATTGTACTGTTTTAAGTGTATTGTAACAATTCTGATATAGACGTGAAGAAAGTAAAGGGGATGAAAAGGCAACTTGCTACTGGCTGTGACCGAACAGGGCTGTTCGGTCACAGCCAGCGGCAAATTGTCTTTTCATCTCCTTTACTTTCTTCACATCTATATAAGAATTATTACAATACACTTAAAACAGTTCAATTGATGTTCCCTGTACGTTCCTTGGCCTCAGTATCTACTGGTTTTCATTTTAGAAAAACCTCACAATTCATACCATGATCACAGGTACTAGTACCAATGCATTAGTAAATGCCACATAGTATAAAGGTTCCAATGACCACACAGTGCTTATTAACCACATTCGCACACACAAAGAAAGTAAATTCCCAAAACAACGAGAATACTGTAAAATTTATAACACAAAAAAGAGGGAAAAAAGTAACTTGGCAAGCATATCCTTTCACTGCACACATAAAAATATGGGAAGTGGAGTCAATGCACAAGAACCAGCCCCCGCTCATGACTACTGAGTATCGAATGCTTTAATGGCAAAAAGCATGCAGTTTGTGCTTGCCAGACGGGCCCACTAACTTCGTAGACGTTGATGTAATTTGGTATAAGAGTGAGCTAAGAAATGTCTGTATTAAAAGCAGTCATTTGACTGGATACATTGAATAGCCTTTTTCTCCCAGCATGCATTATTCAATGACAACAAACTAATGTTCCTTTAGAGGGACTTTGTGGTCATGCACCACTTAGACAAAACCAGGAGCACAGGAAGTGCAATGCACAGCAAAAGTTACACCAGGATCCCACCAAAATAAAGTGGCAATGTACATGCCACCACAATCACCACAGAGAACTCCCACTAGACTGCCTTCATAACTCCTAAATTCCCTTTTGCATTGCACATTTGCCTACTGTAGATTTTACGCTTTGAGGTCTGTTGTCTGGTCCCTTCTGACAGTGCTACATGGCTGCAGCGGTTCGTAGTCGGGGGCTGCTCGACAAGCTCTTTTATGCTTGAATCACATGTATTTTTTCACTTCATTATGCGCCGCCTCTAAAAGAGTATGTGATCTTATTTATTTGAACTTTGTTTTGTTTAGTCTCAGACCAGAACGAACAGAGGGTCAGCAAAGGTTTTGGACTGCAAAGGGTTAATGGCACCACTTATGATTCCAATAAAGACGCAGTGCCAGCTACGAGGCTAGAGCTTGCTCCTTGCACATGATTTTATCTTGCGAAACATATCTACATTTTCCATGTCACGACACAAAATGAGCTAAGTGTGCTCGTGTACAGTGATTGCGGAAATAACTACATTAGCCTTTGTTTGGCAAACTTCTGCGTCAGAAAGTTCACTTTACAGTTTGAACAAGAGTCTACTAAGCAATCCCCCAATTATTTCCACACCGGTGAGCCAACAGGCCACGGAGAAATCACCAATAGCGCAGGCACATGTTTCAATTATCGGACAAAAGCTAATTTCGGCAAACCAATTTCAGGTTCAAAGTTTCAGGAATTAAAATGACTAAAGAACTACATGCAATATCACGCAATAACTCACCTCTTTAGAAAGATACATGTTCGGCATGGCGGCTGCATCATGGTTAGTAACAAGGCAGCAGGTGGAGTGGAGCCGCTTAGCTTGATGTACGAGCATGTAACAGCGCTTGTTATCCACATCATTGGCCACCACAACTCCTTCAGGAATTGTGTTCACGTGCCCATGCAGCATCTCCATCACCTGAGCTGTTTTGGAGCCAGGAGCAGCACACATGTCCAAAACCTGCACAATGAACTGATTCTTACTCCTTTTCAACAAGTGGAAGACCATTGGCCCAAAGACCATGGCTGTGAAGTTAAATGCTTCCACTACGATGGGCTTGCATAAACATGAGCCACATAGAAGAATAATGATATACAGAGCATAATTAGACTAAGACACCTGAAAAAGTGTAAGGCCTGGGTAAATTTTGGATTGACAAGGTTTGATCCCCCGGACAAAACAGTGTCCAGGAATGAAGCAATAATTTGTGATGATCAGCCCAGAGGAAGATGAATAAAAGAATAGGAAGCATAAAAAAAGCAGTCTGTTTTTCCCTTCTTAATAATTTTCTTCCAGAAAACTTATCAAGCATATACCTTCTAACTCGCCAAATTTGCAATCTTTTGCCTCTAGATGAAGCTACTCTGTGTGGATATAGCTTGACTAGGTAAGAACACTAAATAAGTATGCACACGATCGAGGCATATATAGAAGCACATGAACTTCCAGGAGAAAAAATTTTTCATTCTAAGAAGACATCCTGTAATCTTCAACCTAGGGGAACGCAAGTTCATATTTTGCATTCGTGAATATTTGGTCGACATTTGATTTAAGTGAAGTTTTTTTTTTCGGGGCGAATCTGAAAGTCGTCGTAAGACATGAGGTCGGTGTAAAACTGCGTCGTATAATCAAGGTTTTTAATATATCATTATTTCTATTGGGATTTTGCCGGGGACAAACCACTTTGTCGTAAAATGCGGTTCGTCACGAAACTGAGTGACGTATAATCGAAGTTCCACTTACCAGCTTTTAAAAAGTGCGGGCAAATCTATCAAGGCTAGACCGGGTATAACTAAGATATGCTGAGATATGCTTTGCTTTTAAAATGCTAGCTCTCAGTTGTAACATGTACCGTAATTACTCGAATCTAACGCGCACCTTTTTTCCGGTTAAGTGAGTTCATAAATCGCATGCGCATTAGAATCGAGTACGAACAAAAAAGTTACGGCCAATCTATTGCCATCGGCAAATCTAACATGGCCGCCCCATACGTGCGTCGGCATGGCGCGTCGTCCATTTCTGCCTATGTGTTTCTCATGTGCGGCACTTCGTACGTGTGCTGAGGAATTCGTCATCTAGTAGTGCATTAGCATCGACGGCGTGGAATGGCCGACTCCAAAAACTCGAGTGCACCATGATGCCGCTTTTAAAAGAAAAGTCATCGCGTGTGCAGAAACGGACGGAAATCGGGCCGCATCGCGGTCGTTTGGAGTTCCCGAAACGTGCGTGCGGGACCGGCGGAAAGAAAAGCAGAAGATTTTCGACAGCAAAGGCTTCAGTGGACCACAGCAGGGTCGGTTTCCGCAAATTAAAGAGCTGCTCGGCGAGTATGTGCTTTAGCAGCGAGCAGCACAGCGGCCCGTGACGGCAGAACTGCTCCAAGTGCGGGCTATGCAATTAGTCTTAGAAAAATGTCTAATGCGGAGCCAGTTTTAAGCGAGCAGGTGCTGGCTAACTAACTTTATGAAGAGGAAAGGCTTTTCCCTCTGAAGGGGAACATGCATATGCGAAAAGTTTTGCGGAGGAGTACGATGAAAAGCTTCACAGTTTTCAGAGGTTCGTCCTAAACTTGCGGCGCAACAACGACTACCTGCTTGGGCAAATCGGGAATGCCGATCAGGCGCCTCTTTACTTCGACATGCCTGGCACCACAACCGTCGAGAAGAAGGGGGCGAAGCAAGTTCGCGTGCTGACATCGGTCCACGGTAAAACTACAGTGACGGCAATGCTCTGTTACACGTCAGATGGGCACAAGCTTCGCCCGTACCTCATATTTAAATGGAAGACGCTCCCGAAAGGAGTCGTTTTTTCGAGTGGTGTGATCATGCGGGCCAGCGAGAAAAAAAGGGTGCGCGTTGCAATCGATGTCTTACGTTTTTTTTTTTTTCGCGGTGGAAATCGGGTGCGCGTTACAATCGAGGGCGCGGTAGAATCGAGTAAATACGGTAAATAACTTAGTCTGTTCTCAAACTGCATCTAGCAGAAAACTTTAACCTTCTTCGTAGCCTGCCACAACCCAATACTGCTAGTATGCACTAGAGAAAATAAAGGAGCAGCACAGAACAAAGCCCACAGGTCTGGTAAACTGTTCAAGTTATAGAGTCCCTTTCTGATTTCTGGTAATAGTTAACATTGTGGCTGTACCATAGTGTGGCATGGGGGCACACCAGTGGCGTACCATAGGGGTGGTGTGGGGGATCAACACCCCTCCATCGAAGATTTAGAATTTAGTGTGTATTATATACACATGATCAACCATATAAACACACATACAAACACACAAGAAATGCATCAGAACTGCCCTCCCCCTAAGAAAAAAGACATAAAAGACACAGTAGTACAAAAAAAATTTCTGATTACGCCCCTGGGGCATGCCCATAACGGATTTACTAGCGTAATGAATGCACTCGTATAATAAACACCCCCCCAAATTCAGTCATTAAAATCTGAATTTTTTTTCTCCTGCATAATAAATGCACCTCCTAGATTCGTCTGCTGCAGTCCCGCTAATCGGCACCTGACGCCTCCTTGCTCATTGGATCTCTTTCGTTTTTTTATTATTATGCTGACCCCCTTTGGCCACCTCGGCTCGCTCCCTCCCCCCTTTCGCCTGCTGGGCGTGCCATATTGTTCTTCTATCTATGTACGCACGAAACGTTCCCTGTCTTATTTATCATATGTGCGCCACGGCGGGGTTCACGAACAGTGCGAGTATAGAGTCGCAGCTGATAAGCACTCAGCGAGCGAAGGTCACGAAACTGCCAGTGCCAACCGACAGTCGCTTCCTGCAAATACGAAACTTTAAGGCTCAGCCACATGCACGTAATTTTCTAGCAATGACGACAGCACGTGCTGTCGTCATGGCACTTGTGAAGGCCATTTGTCGCCATTGCGTTGCAGGTTTCTGGAAAATACAGAAGAAATGGTTAGTCGCCCAGAAAAGATCATGACAATTTCCGCAACATGGTAGCACCTCCAATTCTCACTTCAGTTGATTTTGCTTTTCATGCTTGTTATCCACCCTTACTTTAAGGCCACCTATTCTTCAGTAACTTCTCATGTGAACAGAGAGACCGCAGCTGTATTTTGTTGTTATTCTTGCTATTGGCCTCGAGATCTCGGAGTGGTGCCCTGTTGCGTGTGGTGTCAGTTTGTGAACTTCGCTCTCAACTGCGCTGCAGCAGCCGCTGCTCCTGTGCGCCTATCGTCTGCTTCTGGCAACAACTTCGTCAAACGAACGGCCTCGCGAGCGTCAACTAACACTCACGACAAATGTTTTCGAGTGTAGTTATGAGTTTGTTATACAGTCAAGCCCACATATAACGGCCCCACCTAAAATGAACTTTCGCTTAAAATGAACAATATCCGCGTGACCGTCCAAATATACATTGGTTCATTCAATGGCACAATATCGCACTTACAACGAACGTCTCCGAGCGCCACTGATCGATTACAGCGAACGGAGTCAGCGATCTGCCGACTTCCCGGGAAACCGATTTCGACCACTGATCAGGCATCGGCGAAGTGCCGAAACATTCTTATTGTTAAATGCCGACCCTGCCTCCGCGACCCTCTAGTTGCCGCTCTCCCAAACCCATGGAGGAAGCAAAGCTGTTTCCTTCCTCCATGCCCCGACTGCTTTTTGTTACGCACCCCTTCGTTTTTTGTCCCCCCCCCCCCCCCCCCCCTGATACTCTGAGCACCCCGAATTGCCAGACGAGGCTCGTGTTTTCACATTTCCACCGATCTTTCGAAGACCAGTTGGCCATCTACCCTGCTTTTGATCGCTGGAACTGTCGTTGGCGCCGCCGGCCTGGAGTGACCAGACCATTTACCAACATCGTCGGCCACCGACTGTATCCGATATTCGGTGTCTAGTGCACGCGCGTAGCTACCCCACCAACTCTGATAATTTGCGATTCTTTCGTGTTTAGGACTTGTTCTCGCTCACTTCGCCCTTACCTCAGCGTGCCTTCCACGCGCGTGCGGAAGCGCGAAATCGGCTGTTAATTTGCGCGGAGAATCACGAAATATCGAAGTTCGTGAGGCCACGCGAACCCGCCGACGAAACAAAACGATTTTTTACCACAGCCGCCGATTCTTCGAACACCGCCGCGTGCACCAATCCGGGCGGCCATGCTTTGACTTCTGTGCGCGTAGGCACTCTTTTCAAGTTTTTCTACGCGCGAGTTTCGCGGACCTTTCAAGCAAGCTATTCAACGTGCCTCCTTCCCGTGTGTTTTGGTTTTCAAGGACGCCCTCCTGCCGCATCCTCCCCCCTCTTTATCGCAACTCCTTGCCCTTTTCTCGCAAGTATGCTTCCTCTCTTGATCACAACCCCTTCACCCGTCTCCACCACTCCGCGATGCCTGCCACGCTGGCTCGAATTAGTTTCGTTTTCTGACTGGAAACGGGCCCAGAGTTGTTCCACGCGTTCTGGCATATGTGTCGCGTTTGCACGTCTTGCTCGCTCTTGGTGTGCGTGTGTGGTCATGGTGGCCGACGGGAGGACTAGCCCGCTTTTTCCTGCCGCTCAACAAAACAGCAAAAGTGTGACCGATTGGCTTGAGCGTAATCCGCACGTTAGGTGCCACGTTGCGGAGCGCTTGCTCATAGCTATTGACCACCTGGCAGCCAACTTGCCGCTTCGGGCATCCCGGTATTCAGCTGAGCGTGGAGATGGTGAATATTTTGTGGGCGGCAGTGACGGCTACATGCGCGTGAAACTGTTTTCGCGAGGCCGACTTTCTCGACGTCGGGCCCAATGCCGAGCCTGAAGTTTCCGAACTGCGACGGCGATTTGTGGCAGCGTATCGTCGACTCCGACCTGGGAGAGCGAGTGGGACATATGTTGCAGTGGTTTAATTACGGCCGACGATGAGGCCGACACTGCGAAACCGTGCACGGATTGGGGCATTGTGAATGAAGTACGTGGCGAGCAGTGTTGCCATCGCTGAGCG